GCTCGAAAACGCTCCCGGGATCCCAGTGACCTAGGGGCTTTTCTTTCTGGAGCTCAAAGGGGGTTACCCTTATCCTTGCTCCGCTACCATACGAACGTTTTCCTTGACACAAAGGGGCCGCGCTGTGGTTATCTATACAAGCTGTGCTATTACACTGGCTATGGTCTGCAGTGGAACTTGTTCACAAAAACAAAAATTACATACATCAAACCTGACTATTCAAAATCCCTGAAGATATCAACACTGCCACAACATGCCCTATGCGCCCCTAACTTGTTTTGTTCCTGATTCATACTCCCATTCAGCATGTCACTTCTTTTGAAAAAACAGTTCTTGTGAAGTCTTGGAAGATTGCCGACCCTTATGTCACAACTGTCACACCATTAAATTAGATATTATTAGACCTTGAGAGGCGGACGCACTGTCCTATAAATATCCTTTTATATTAGGTTTCACGTCACCCTGGTATATACACGACATGAACTTTGACACACATTGCCTTCGGATCTGGTATGAAGAAATCTTGTTCGGGATGTTGTTAGCGGAACGAGTCATGAGCCTTCATGAGTAATGATTTCCATGGAAAGCACAATTGGCAGAACAAACCAGCGAAACAAGGTAGCATGATAACATGTGATGTGTGGATCATTGTGCATCCCGCCGCAGTGGCTGCCAAGCAGGCTGAGCAGTCCCATCGGCCGAATATTGGGCCCCGCAACCCACGCCAAAGCTGTGGGCGCCTCCATGTTTGTGATTTGAGCCACCTTTCGGCCCCAACCTTGGCGGAGCAAAGCACTACTGCACATGATTTTTGAGAAGCAGACCTAAAATGGAGTAAGATGTAGCAAGAGCAGTTACAGTGGCTGAACACAAGATGGAACCCACGAACTCGAATGCACACAGGCACTTGAAAACAAACAGCCAAACAATGTTTGACACTCTTATGGGACACTCTCGTGGGACACTCTCGTTGGGCACTCTTGTGGAGCACTCTGCACTCTCCTTAGACACTGGAACCCTCTTGTGGGACACCATTGGAGGACACTCTTCTAATCTCTTGTGCACTCTTTTTAAAACCACAAAGTACCGCTCACCAGCAGCACACCGCGTTCACACACGCATTTTTCTATCCCGGAATGGCACAGAGCCACGAGGCCGGGCCAAACTGCATGGCACAGCGGCATGACGGACGTATTTTCGCCGCACCTCGTGCCACGGACTATAAAAATGCAACCATGTGACATGAAGCCTCCAATCATCCCGCTCACCGCCAACACGCCCACGTTTACAGCACATGCTCTCCTTCCCCATGACCGGGGGCCATTTTTCCACCAAGGCCGTGCCAAAACACATGGCACACCAACATCAAGAGACGTAATTTCGCCCCACCGCATACTACCACTACCACTTCTCAGCCCAGATCTCCCACGACCTACGCCCCGGACCACATCTGTGGCCGGGGGCTCCTGGAAGCTACTTCCAGTATGGTACGACATATTTGCACTACAGTCACTAGAAAGTTGCCAGTTCTGACCCGAGGCTCTGAACGAGCATTTCGTACGAGACTTCCTCCAAAACCAGCGCTGCACACGAAACTAAACCCTAGCCTTCAAAGACCATTAAAAGAACGGTTGAGCTGGTGGTGTAGTGCAAGATCCTTAGTATATAAAACAATGTTTCTTTGGTAAAGACCATTAAAACAATGGTTGTTTGAACCCTGGGGTAAAGCGTCAGGTCTCCAAAACGAGCGTTTCGTGCAGCCCTGCCAAGATTCCGGCCCCTCTAAGCCCACAGCTGCTGACACCCCCATGGCACCGCGACATGCACTTCCACCAAACGTCACAACCTCAACGTTCCCTACGCCTGCCACGAACATTCAATTTCAACATGCACCTCCAACACGCACAAAGCACCGCACCTGCCACGAAACGTCACTACAGCACATCATAGCACATCTTTCTGTCTACAGCTTGCACATGCTTGCACCATCACACCCACTAAAATCACCCAAGCACAACAGCTTCGCGGCAACAGCCCGAAATGCAAATCCCAATGGCAACAGCGTTATTTAACAACCACGGCACAAGGAGGTTTTCATTCAGGGTGACTTTAATGTCCGTGTGGGCACCCGCCGCTTGGACGTCTTCTCGCTTGATGGACGGTTGTTGTTAGATTTTTGCTGGGGACAAGGACGCCGACCGTTCCGTCTTGTGTGCACGCATTTGCAGCATAAGGAATATGGCACATGGGAACGCCAGCGCACCAAGCAGTGGCATCAGATTGATCATTCGGTTTGGCCCAGTTCGTCAAAGACGTTGAAGTGATGATTGGATTCGAGGTGGCAGCGATCATTGGCCCTTGTCCGTCAAATCCGTGTGTTCACTCGGCAAACACACTTTCGGGAGAAAAGGTCGCGTGGTTGCCGAGGGCTGTGTACCCCGGTTACAGGTGGCAGCTCTCAATGATGACCAGGTGTCTTCTGCTCAAAATGACAAGCTGGTTGAACTTGTTACGTGATGAACTTGTGACTGATACATATGGGTTCGCGGCGAACAGGTCTGTGGCAGCACCGCCCGCGTTCCGCGCCCGCAGTGGCAAATCGACGCAAAAGAAGGCACAGCGACATCCAACACCTCCAGATCCCAAAGGCACAACAAGTGCCACGCTTCTAGGAACAAGTGCCTTACTAGTAGTAACAATGTTCGCTAGTAGAAACAAGTGCATCGCTTCTAGAAACAATGTCCTGACCCTCGCACCTTCGGTCGCATGCGAACGCTTGCGGACGGTTGCGACATGAACACAGCTCTACCCTCACACTCCCAAAGTTAAACCAGAACCTTTCGCTACGCATTCGGGAAAATAATAGTATAACAACAACTCGGCAATTATATAGCAGTGATCTGAACTATTCACTTCTTTTTTATTTCATGCTATAGTTGTTTCGCGCCTCCTTGCTCACACTAAGCTGATCTGGTTGCAAAATAGGAGTGTGCATGAGTGTGCGCGGGTTTTGCAGCCCAAAAGGGGTGCTGATACAATAGCTAAAGTTAAAGCATGCCAAAGCCCCCAAAATTAGAAATCGCACAACTGTGCTAAACCTGACATGAGACGCGCACTGCAAACTATTCAACAGTATAACGCTGAGCAAAGTGCCACCCATGTCCCGCATCTTAACAGTCCAAAGGGTGATGCCTTCCTTGGACCTCGGGCATGCACGATTTCCAGGTCAAAGGTCATGTGTTGAAATGCCTATCTGACACAAACATCATGCCAAAACTCAGGTCAGCTCAGCCAGCAATCTGGCTTGAATGAAGGGTGGAGTTTAGGCCAAAAGGGTTGGGCTCCTGCTCTTGACCAAATGTAGCTCTAAGGAACTTGAGCTGGTGCCGGGTTCGACTTAAGTAAATGATGCATCTGGTCATCTGGTCATCTAAGGTCTTGGCAAAACACTTGCACAATCACATACAACTCAAAGGCTAAGGAAGGCTGTGGGCTTGAAGTCTAGCACTGCTCACGGCAGATTCGGTACAGTCGGAGATGGGGAGACATGGGGAGGCGACAAAAACAAGCTCACAAACAAATACCAAATTCTGCCCTGCCACGATCTGAAAAAGAAATGTAAAGAGAGCAAGAACCTCATACAGGGATTGCGGAAAACCATGGTAAACTCGTTGGAGAACCGGGGGGGATGAATGGGGGGACCACGCTGGCGCCAAGCTGCAGGAAAGCTAACACAGCCAAAATGGAATTGATTGCGCCCATCTTCCAACAAGAGAAAAGCATAGAAAAGCAAATGGAGGATGGTGGGAACCAAAAAGAGTCAACGGACAAAAACTGCCAAATTGGAATGCATGCCAGGTCACCGGAAAGGGGGACATTAATGACGGATCAGTGTGAGCCGACGGAGGCAACCCTCATGATGCACCCTTTAAAAGGAGTAAGAAACCCACTTGCCAACAAAATGCAAAAAGGGTGTGGCAGCATGTCGGCATTATCAGATGAGGCTACCACTAATTATGGGATTTATGTCCAACGGTCCAACGCTTGGCAAGTATCCACACATGAGGCCGTTTTTGAATCAGGGCATGCGCTTTCCCTGAGTTGGGCCACCCGGTGAAGAGCGTCCCGGTGTTCGCGTCGTAGTCCATGGCCGTGATCGGACTGCCATTGTGCATGCCTTGGAGCCCAACCGAGTTGAGAAGAGTTTCTTGCAATTTTGACCCGACTGAGTTTGGACTACAGATTGGCATAGACTGGCTCAACATGACCTTATCTGAGGAACATTGAGGAACAAAACAAGTTCTCGGCCCTACGCCATGATATCATTATCTCCCCACTTCAGGCCCCTACTCATACTAATGTCTGAGTTACAGGCATCCTAAGTCCGAAGTGCCCCCCGGCATATTGCACGTTCAATCAAGCCGACAACCCTGCCAAGCACTGCCAAGCAGCCATCCGGTACACTGGCAACCTTGTGAATTGGTAGTATCGAGGTGTCCCAAACCTGAGGCTAAACATCTTCAGGTGCCAAACACCCGGTTGAAAGCACCAAGGCATGGCATTCAGAACACGTCAGGAAGGTGGGATTCCTGTGGATCTATGGATTCATTCTTTACACAACATCGATTCTGCACTTGGCTTCCGCCGTCCAAGTCCCATGCAACCACGACTCCATTCTTGAGCGAGGTGAAGAGGCGGCGTTGCTCCTTTGGCATTGGCAACTATACATTGGTTCATTCATCTACCATGAAGTCGGAGATCGAGGGAAGTGCTAGCTGATGACCAGCTTCAGGGTGCTTCAGGAACTACCTCCAGTCAAAGCAGCCTTCTTTTGACCGGCGGTGATTCATGGAGGTTGCGTCATGACTATGAGACCTCATCCTTGGAGGTGGCAGCCCAGACAACTCACATCGCTGGCCAAGCGGGATGCAAATTGCAATGAACAAATTGTCGGTCCCTGGTGGCGAATGTGTGGGAGGAACGTCCCCCACAAATGTTCGTCACTGAAAGTCAGCCGGGTACCAGCTTTTCCGCCTCAGCAGCCATAAGCCAGAGTTAGGCACTTCCCAACAGCAGGAGCACTTGCAGGCTTAGCATTTAAATCGAAAGCCGTCTTGCTCACACTATAGTAGCCAAGGGTAGTGGGGGCTAGGACCAAGGCTGTACAAGCAACATCTAAGCATTCTGTTCTCGTGTCCTTGCTGCAGATTGTCTAGGAGCGGAGCCTCAACTGCTTGCCGCACTGCAGTGCACATGCAGTTCTGGCTGACTGCAAAAGAGATGGCCTGCAAACGGAGATCAAATCGCCATGGGAACCGCGAGCATGGCTTGTCAAACAATATTGAGCATAATTGAGCATGTGCAGAACAAATAGTTTTGGCAAGACAAATGTGGAACAATGGACAACGATAGTTAACGGGGAAACTATTTCTGGATATAAAGAATATTAATCATGAAGAAGTGGAATGAGTAGAGTAGACATTCTTGAACAATTTGGAAGCGTCAACTGGAAAACGCAGTTGAATCGTCAAATGATCCGAGATTGGAGCCTGTGAATCAGCATGCCAAAAAGTAACTATATGACTACTATAGCATCTGAAGTCCAGCAACAAGTAGAACCGCCAAGGAGCTCGTTGCATCCTGTCGGAGCGGCCACTGTTCGATCTAGACGTCCGCTGCCTAAAGCTGCTGATCACTCACCGCAGCCGCAAGGCAGTGTGACCATGTGAAAGTTTTGCAGCCGCGGTCGGCAGTGAACAAAGAATGTGTTTGGGCAACTTCATGATTTAGCTCTATTGATTGAAGGGGTCCTTGATAGTCCTTGCTTTCTTTTTCAACTTGTTCGGTTGCTGTGTGCAGGAGGGTCTCTAGTGGCCGTGGCGGCACATCCCGCAAAGGCATCATGCCCAAATAGTCCCAAATATATGAGCAAGTCGCCACAAACATACTTAGTCGGATGAGTGTTGCGGATTTTGCTGCAATTCATGGCCTGCATGCGCACCAATTCTGACAGTCCGACAAAGGGATGCCGAATAGGTACATTCAAGTACATTCTGATACACCAGGTCGACCACAGGCCGCAAGACTGAACCCACCGCTAAGAGGCTTAGCCAACGTGACCAACAGCTACAAGGGCTGTGCAGTCAAGGATCAAAAGCCGCAGCTCCCCGTTGCTGAAAATCCAACTTCGCCCGAGGCGCATCGGCAGCAAGCCGCTCCCCTGAAACATGAGACATGGCTTCTTGGCGGTCGCCCAGCCAACGAAAGGAGATGAATGGAGATGATATGGAGGCCCTTGAACCTGCATCCCTCTTCTTGATATTGTAAAGACTGAGGTGACATTGCGATCCTTAAGGGTAGGGGTATGGTACCGTACCGGATGGTGGGCAAGCCAAGCAAGCGGTGTCGAAACCCATCTCAATGGAAACACGGAATCTCTGGTCTCGCGATATGTCACAAACATCTTCTTCCTCACCTCTGGTGCCGTGATTGATCGCCTGCCCGTCTCTCTTGTTCTGCACCTTTCAGACGAGGCTGCCGCAAAAAAGCAATCTTGCCCACAATCTTTTTGCATCTTTTAGCTACTCCCTTACGAATCTCTGATTTGATTAGCATGCGTTTTCTGTGTATACTGTTGGCAGAATGACCAACAAGCACCCCAACAAGCAGCCATACAGGCGCCTTCCTGCAAGGCGGCCTGATGTGCTGCAAAATCACAAAGAATGAACGACACGTCGTCTTGTGGTTCCGTTTTGTATGTGGTGGTTGGTCAGCATCCTTTATCCCAGGAATGCCATGGAACGCCCATTCTTTCCAAGCAGGTTCCTAAACGTATCACACCCCTCAGTAGTTAGTTGACATGTGCTGGATATAGGCGAGATACAACTAGTGACAGCTTCCACCTTGCAAAGGCTTCTGGATTCTAGAAAAAGACCCAGAGAGTCAGGTGCGGTAATTATGGCTATGACTCATGACAAACCATGAGGAGCATCCTTATCAAAGGAAGTTGAGACATGTTGAGACTTAAGCGAGTGAAGGGGGGCTGCAACATTGCCATGCACGACCTAGTCCAACTCACCTCCAAGAAGCTTCGTGACCGAAAAGGTAAGGCAACAGAGGGATACAGGAGTGGAGTCTGGTAACCTGGACGTTCGCAGCTCATGCGCGGGACTTTGGTGGACATCCGCTGGTGGTTCTGATTCCTCCGAAACATGCGCAGTCTATTAGTCATACAGACTGTCCTGGTCATCTGTCCTGACTGCCGCGGTGCCAACCTTCGTTATCTTCGATTAGCAAATAAACGACTGCAGAAAACTTCTTCATGTAGGTGCCTTCAAGTGGAAAGTTCCTGACGCATTGTTAAAACGAGACATCGATAAACCTTTTTGCGGACTGAACAACTTTCGCGAATCTCATCGCATATATGTTGCAAAAGGCCTGCGGCTTGAAGAGCATGTCAAAGGTTTACATACAAAAAAACAACACATGGACATATGATGCAATATGAACTTAACAAATTTACCATTTGCTTTTTGAAAGTCCAAGTCTTTCCTGGGCTTCCGGCCTTTGGAGCCGAAACGCGGCCTTCTGCGTCCTCCGAAATGTCCCAGTCCAGAAAGCGAACAAACTGAAACAGAATCCATCAATGAAGTAATATGAATCAATTAAACCACAAACATAAATTAAACTATCAGTCTTCTTTGGCTACAGCAATGTCACATCAATACTTAAGGCAGTTCTCCAGAGAAGACGATTAGAGCCACTCGGAAGCGAGTGCATCAAGACCAAGACTTCAACCTCCATGTTGCATCCCCAAAAATGAAACTTCCATCAGTAGTATGTGTCAGTGTGTCAGCTTTCCATTGTAGGTTTGTCTGCTTGGACACTTGATGAAGTTTGCTCCTCAGTAGCAAGGGTCACAGAGAAACTTCCGGGCGTCGGTTCTTTCCCTGTCTTTAGCTGCAGCGCACTCCTTAGCGACACCCGCGTGCACCCAGAAATGGCGATCAAGAGTTGCAAAGCATCTGTGGCTCCCAACAGCTTTCTCAATAATCCGGCACTTAACAGTCTTAACAAACTTTGCCCACGCACCTTTTTACGACGCTGTCTGCTTCTGCCAAGTTAAGTAGAAATACTGAGCAAGTTTGAATGGCTTCATTGACTGCAATGAGGTTCGTCAACACCAAGACTGCTTCCCAAGGCACAGCGCGCAGGTGCCGGCATCTTCCTCACATTCATCGGCAGGCACAGCTTCCACCTGGCGGCAGTGGATAATTTAGTGATGATGGAGATGGGCGGTTGCCTTGCGACACAAGTAACTACTGCAAATAACTAATGACTGATGTGCAAGGTCTTACTTCGCAAGCCCTCTTCTGTGGCGTCCAGTTCTGAATCTAATTTGAGGATGAGAGTGCGGTCAAGAAACGCGATATCACAAACATTCCTGTGCAAAATTTGTGCTAGACTGCTGGACTGTCTGCCTCCGCTGCCACCAAGGGCAGCAAAGCTGCCCAAAATACTGCCACTTGGCGCATGCCCTGCCATTGACGCATGTGCCAATATCGAAACGTTTCGGGACTGCTTCCAGCCTCAAAAGGCAAGTGCAATATGGTTCCCTCATGTTCTACCAAGAATCGAATCCACCCCAACCACTTCTTCTAGGTCACGGAGAGGGCCGGCACTCTATCCCCAGGCAGCTGCCCAAGACTGAGCATCGGTGTGTGAAAAATGGTTGATGCTTTAACTGCCCATCTCAACCGCGCCCGGCTGCCCAGCAGCCGAGAATCGCTGATTTGTAAATGGAAGCAAGACCTGGCCACTTCAGGGCTGTCATTGGAAGAGTTAGGTTAGAACGCCCAGGGAAGCAGGATACAAGCACAACGCACCCAACATCACCCACCAACGGCCTGGCAGGTGCTATGGAGTTATATAAGTTACTTGAGCCCAAATTGGCCACTGCGGTGGTTGCAAAATCGTTGTGCATCCTTGTGCTAACCTTGTCGCTTCAAGAGCACCGTGGCTCAAAGTTGTCAAAAGGTAGTGAAAGAATTCAAGAAAATTGAACAGTCTGAAGCTGACTCCTGACAGTGAATCATCAAAGTGGCAGGCGATGGCACTTGCACCTACAAAATCGGATCTACCAAGAAGAGTGGGCACGACATGAAACGACTGCTCAAATGGTGGCATGGTTACCATGGTTTCAAAGAAATGTTTATACAAGTGGATTGGGATTGGGGTGATGAAGTCCCAAGCCCAGCTGTACATGGCACAAGTTTCTCTTGGGAAAGGATAGATATCATTTTGTCACCACCACCACCACATTCACCCTAGGTGTGCATGCACTGTGAACTGCCAAGGCTGTTGACCTCGAGTCCAATCTCAACTGCAAGCCCTGTCATGCAGCAGCTTGTAAGCCAGTCCATCTCTGTGATCACATTGCTTGCAAAGCTTTGCATGTACATCCGTGCCCACCTCACACTGAATACGCTGATACTTGAGGTCATAGACTTTAATGGCCTCCAAAAATCACATTTGTGAGCAAAGTTGCTACATCAGACTATATATATAGAATTTGGACTCCATGGAGCTAAAAGGAATAGAGGCAACTCATCACTGTACCTTGTCGGCACTGGCAGAAAAGAGCCACTGCTCGCTCTCGTCCAAAGCAAGGGCTACTACCTTGGCATCTGTGAGCTAAAGGAGTAAATTAAGCCACGTTGAAACTACTAGTAGCTTCTTGCTCCTAGTAGCGATGGCCTCCAACCTAATACCAATGCCCTTTGTTACTAGTAGCTTCTTGTTACTGTCTCAACATGCCCCAACGGCTGGGTCAAGGCCATTGCCAGAAGTCGATGAGTTGACCTCGCCTTTGTCTTTCCTGTGCTGAGGCTGCAGCTGCAGCGGTGTGAGTCACCAAAGGCAAAATGTTATCCTGGCATGACATGGGTCAAATGCCTCCTTGGCAAAAGCACTAAGTCACTAAGCCACTAAGCAAAGAATCGGCGATCAACTTCCATGTGATTTGGAGTATAAGAGTGTTCAAAGCATCGGCCAGAGCTTGCCCGTTGCTGGCTGTTACACATCATCACATGTGTGCCGTCCCCATAAGGCAAATGATTCTGTATCTGAATTCTTAGACAGAAACCCCATCCCATCCCCTATACAAGTGGAAACACGATTGCCATGCCTTTCTGGTTGCAACAGTTCCCATCCACCATCCATGCCAAGGACAACCAAAAACCTCTTTGTCAACATCGGGCCGGTGGCACAGATCCGCCAACCCCGCGATTGGCGCTACCACGTTCACCTTTGAAGGGGAGCACGCCTGCAGCAAAGGAAGTTCTTCAGCCCAACATTCGTTCGGACAAATCAAACCACAAAATGACCAATTTGTTCTGCCAAGTTAAAACTTGATAAGCAAAAGGCAAATGCTAATGATCACCGATCTTCACTGCAAACCAGCCAGCAGGAAAGCAAAACCAGCTTGTGAATGCACGTCTCTCTCACTCGTTCATCATCATTCGACTTCATCCAACATTCAACCCAAACGTGAACACACTACTTGGACCCATCCACCATCCACACGAGCACACAGACCCCAGCCTACGGTACCATCACTCAGGCCAGCCAAACAGGTGGCCTGGTGTCACCGTTGTATACATGCCAACTACGAACTTTGTCTTATGTGCTGTTCGTGCACGTCCACTATATAAACATCGAGGTGTATGCTGCCCACGCGCGTAAGGAATCATAGCGAATACTATATACACGAATTAAACATAATTGGTCTGTTACGGCATGTTTGCCAGGCGCGCTCTCTTGATATGTCTTTGTAGTGCTGACTAGTAGCTTCACTCCAGGCGAGTCCGAGTATGAGATTTCTAGGTTTCTACTGTCCCCTACATGGCTCCAGCTACCATACCAAAAAAAAGAATGCCAGGCACATGAAACCCATCAATCCCAATGCCCCCATCTGACCAAAGGCTGCGCTAGGCCACTAGGCCCTAAACTGCCGTCGCCAAGCTATTACCCAGGCCCAGACTCAAACACTCGGTGACTCGGTGTGGATTGGGGCTTGACAATCTTGATGACCTGATATCCCATGATAAATATTGGTAATCGGACAACCCAATGGGATGCTTAGCGACTTAGCAGACTTAGCACACTGGCCAAGGATACAAAAAACACTATATGCAGGCAACTTCCAAAAGGACAAAAGTAAAGGCGGCTATGAAGGAGCGGGTTTTCATACAAAATACAGCAGGAGGAGCGCCCAGTCCAGTCCAGTCCAGTCCGGTTTCTCGTTATTTGGGGAGACACGCAAATTGTGTCTGTGTGTGTGTGCACAGCAAATCAAAGTCACAGGACTGTCAGTTGCAGTTGCATCTCTCACAAGTATCAGATCTCAAAAATGACTCGAAAGTTGCCAGAGACGCTCAGAAGAATTCCAACGCATACTTTTGTCATCGCTAAATTGGCGCGTTGGCCAGGACGCGGAAAGGAAGGCCGATAGGTCAACCAGACCCTGTCTGCCAGATTCACTACAAGCGAGTCAAGCCGGGCAAGTCTCAAAACAATCAAAAAATCGTTTTACTTTCGACCAGCTTGACTGCCTTCACTTTCTACCAGCTCGACAACTTGATTGACCGCCTTCGTTTTCCAAAATGAAGAGCTTGCGGACTGGACACAAAATTTCACAAAATTAGCTCTCGGTCCATGCCATTCAAAAGCTTAAGAGTCGCCAGCAAACGCATCGATGTGCGTGGACAGGTCTGACAGGACGGCAAGGCAGAATTGAAAGATTGGATGGTAGTCATCCAGCAGGTCTGCGCATGCTTCGTAGGCTACCTTCATCATCTCCTGGCAAAAAGCAGCGGTAGAAATTGCAAACATTAACGCTAAAAGCAGTACCACTGTCGGGTGTTCACTGCCTGAAACTTGTCAGCACAAACATATTTGGACGTCTTAATATTGCTCCTGGAGGCTTAATGCAATGCTCTGCTTGCTACAAAGCTTCTCTGCTGCTGCACGTTCAAGATGTTGACCAATTTTATCTGACATGGCCTTGGGTTCTGTAGCTGCTGAAGAATCCAATTTTAACCTGCTCAACAAATCTGCATTCGGCTTCTTCTCAAAATGTCCCTCGTCATCAAGGACGTTCCCGAAGCGCTGCTTGACCTCGGGTTGGGGGGAATCTGGTGGAATGGCCAGGTTCAAACGATCACCTTGTCCCACAAACTACTGCAACCCCATGGCACACTGTCACACAATGATAAACCATAAAACCGTACAAATATGACAAGGAACTGTCAGCATGATACATAGTGTTTTAGCAAGGACGTCATGCTTCTTCGGATTGTCAATCACGCCAACCGCAAAGTGAATTGCCCTGATAAGTACATTGAACCGCCAATGGAAATCTTTGAAGCGCTGACTCACATGCTGGTAGTGGAATGAATGCATCACCAACAACGTCCCGCACACTGAAGCTATCTCGGCCTCAAGAACAAAGTCCCCTGCGTCATCTTTACCGGGCATCTACAAATCTACAAAAACCACGGGTCACAGAGTCTGCAGTGACTCTGCAGCGACTCGATGTGGAATTGCAATGTCTCAAAATAACGATGAAGCCAAAGATTGCGGGAAAATGAAATTCAATAGCCATACTAGGCAAGGCAAAAACAGACGGTAGGCAATATATGCAACATTGAGCAAAACAGGTCAGGAAGTCAAATTGGTTTTCTACCGTCGCAGCAGCTTGCCGTTTCGCAAAAATGCCTCGAAGGCCCGCACTAAGAGAACTGAAAACGCCGGGAAGGACTTCAAGAGCAACTACATTGAAACCTTACAAATGGCATTTTGGGTTTGAACAGCTTCAACGCTCCCCTTGGCTCTTGAGCTAACCAACCCGACCAACCCAGTGCCAAAGACAGCCCACTGTCAAAAGGCAACATATCTAAGCTCTGCGCTGTACTATGCGGCTTCCTGCTGTCAGAGCTCAACGATGTCCTCACTGGTAAAAACTGAGGAGCTTATCCATCCCTGACAACCCGGAGACGTCTCCTGAATCCGTGACGATATTCTTCACTGACTCCAAACGAGATTTGGCTGCGGAATCATGCTCGGGGGTAACCAATCCTCGCAAGACAACGCCGAGGCAGTCAGACTGAGTGCCCACACGCTCTGCGAAGACAAAGCCGCTGGGAATATACAGCAAGTCTCCAGGTCCCTGAGTCACGGCATAGAGTTTGCCTCCCAGAGAGAGCAACGTCTGCACCATAGAGTCGTTCATATCCATGAAGAATTTCCACATTGACGACAAGTTGCAACCCTTCTTTGCCACACCAGACTTCTGCATCAACAGCAAGATGTCGCTGGCAGGGGCACAAACCAGAGTGCGGTTGCCCTTCAAAAGGTAACGGACAGACGCCAACTGCTCTTGCTCTGCGCCAGACATAATGCTTCCACCTCGTAGACGTTTCAAAAAAAAATATACAAGCATAGACCCCAAACAGCCTCAAAACGATTCAACGCAGAGCCGGGCCACAGAGCC